CCCCCATGGACAAATCAAAGATGCAGGGGAGATAGGAATGTGTAGGTACACATCTGACACATTGACCTTTGTCACCTACAGACCAGGAGTGAAAACCCAATGAAGAGCAAGGAAAGATTCCATGATGAAATGTGTGAGGACCAAGAAGCAGTTCAGAGTTGACAGTTCAATGATAGGGCACCAGTCCCCTGTCTTTTTTGGGGACAACAAGCAGATGGGGACAAAAACCCAAATGAGAGGGATCTCCCTGTTCGATGGCACCATTGAGAAGCAGCTCCCGAACCACCTCTGAAAGATGATGGTAGGCAACAGAATCCCGAGGGGAGAGAAAGAAACAGGATCCAGAGACAAAGGAGGAGGAGGATTGAAAAGGAGGACCAGACCCTCTGAAACCACCTTCAGAACCCAAGGGTCTATGACAAAGTCCCTACAAGTGTGGAAAAGCTGAGAAGCCTGGTTCCCACAGGTCCTGATCCCACAACATGTCACTGAGATCACCGGGAGCCCCGAAGACAGAACACCAATGATCAATGGCAAGCCTCATGAAGTTGACAGGGTGGAAGTGGCAAGAGAGAGAAAGGAGGAGGGTCAGACACAAAAACAGGTATAGGAGGGGTTTGGAATAAAGGGGAGGCCAAAAAGGATAGGGAGGTATGCACTCAGGCTGACTTAACCCTGGATCCCATATGGTCAGGAATGCCCCAAAAATCTCATGACATAGAAAAGGTGCCATGCTCTAATTATGCAAAGACGAGAGAAGCAAACAAACCTTAGACAAAAGGGCATCCCAATCCTAAAGATTCCATCAACAGATCAACCACATTTGCTAAGCCAGGGCAGAAGAGGAGAGGTGTGCTAAAGCAGAGAACTGGAGATTCCAAGTCTCCACCGAAAAAATCCTTGAGGGGAAGATAAATAGCCTCAGACAACAAGTGTAGGGAGGGTAAGGAATGGAGAAGGGAAAACTGAGGCTGGGAAAGGGAAACCAAAGAGAGTCAGATCCCCACAAATGGACAAGCAACTCCAAATGTTGCAAGTCTAAAAATGGAAAATCAGAAGGATGATGTGCCAGAGAATGGTTGCCCAGAGTATGAGGGGGTTGAGGCATACTGACACCTCAAGAATGCAACTGGTCCCCAAAACGATTTGCATGAGCCCCAATATCTGGAGAGAGAGGTAACACTTAATACTGACCCAAAGGCTCATCATTGAGAAGGGCAGGAGTTTAATTATAAAAAATGGGAGATAAGGATAAAACATAACAAACCTGACTGATAAATTTGAGAAAGGAGGCATGGGCACATCCCCTGAAATGTCATGTGACTGTGAGGCATAGGTAGGAGGGGGAAACAGGCTGTCCAACTCCTCATTGTCATGTTCAGGCAAACCCTCATCTGGTATACGAGGACAATCATCAGGTGATATAGAAGACTGCATAAAAGTAGCTAACTCCATATTGACCAGAACTGTTACTTCCTGAGCAGATAAAGAATGCTCATATGCTTTTGAAGTGGCCGGCAAATCAGTTGTAGTAGTGACATTAACTGTGGTAGATGCCAAGTGGACTTGTGAGTGCACAACCAGTTATTTAAACAAGAAAACAAAAATTGTTCTCAAACTCTGTTCTCAAACCGTTAAAAATTGAGGAAGTACAGTGAGAAAATTTATGCCTAATAATCTACAGGAAACTTGATCAATTAAGAAAATTATCAATCATGAGCAAAAACATGTCTTAACAGTTAGACTGCCAATTGAGAAGTGATTTTGGGCTGCACGAAAGAGGGTGCTAGTGATGACAATTGTGTTGCACTCCTATTCGTGAAGGGTTGCTACATTATCATTTACAAGATAGCATGCAGATGTCTCACGTGAATACAAGTGATGGTATGTGGGAGTATCAAGGCTAGTGGCAAGCAAAAATTTGTGCATATTGAGGGCAGTATGAGTCAAGAAAAGCTATTTGTGAGAGTAAGCAAGATATATTGGAAAATGGCATTATCAAACAAACAGAGATAACCTCGTATGTATGGAACTTCATAGAATTCACAAAGCTTTTCAAGATTTAAGAAATTTTTCCAAAACTACAGAAATGTCTTAAGTTACACTTACTTCAACAAAAAAGTTTTAAAATTATGTTTTGAATAAACCTATTCAACCATTTATCACTTTTAAATAATATAATTAAAGGAAGTGTTTTAGTGATAACTTAAAAGTTTAAATGAAATGAACAATGTTATCAGCTTTCATATCTATGCTTTAGTGAATACTAACAATAATCAAGGTTGTTGATTTCACAATAATATCAAAAAACTGACAAATAAACAGGAAATTTCACTAGTGATAAGACACAATTAATTACATGTACATGTTCCACAATCAACTGCTATAATTTATTCAAGATAACGTATCTTTCTTAATCTTCCAGTGGAAAAAAAGTAACTATACCATGGTTTTAGACATACATATAGAGAATAAGTCAACCCATCTCATATGTTAAAGCAACAGCAATTCCCAAACTTTCATAACTCAAACAGCCTGGTAATTTTTTGGAGCCTGTGTTCCAGTGGGAGAAGAGGGGGGAGGAGTACTGTTCTTATATATAATGGAAATATGTATATATTTTACGGTGTTTTGTTCTACAACCCACCATGGGTAAAGATCCACAGTTTGAAAACTGCTGCCCTAGGTGATTGACATGTGCATTACAAACACTGTGTGTACAATTTTTTCTTCACAAGTATGAAAACCCAATCATTGAATATCTTCTGCACTTAGTTGAAGAGGAAGTTAACATTTTATGTTCATCTGACAGATTAGTATAGCTTCTTACAGTATCTTTAAAACAATGAAAGTAAAATAAAAACAGTCTAAAACAATATCAATCTCACTATCCAAACTGTTCTGCAGTTAAAGTAACCCATCTTTGTTGTGACCATAGTGGAAAAAAAATGTTTTGACAATTTAAACTCAATCTATTGTCACTGGCTTTAATAATATAGTATCAAAGTAATTCATTTTTTGATATTATTACTAAGAATAAAAAAAATTCTGCATTTCCAGTAATATGTAGGTTAAAAAACAAGAAGATTCACAGCCTTACCTTGGTGTCCGTCCAGATATGGGTTTCTGCAAACCTCGGCTAACTACAATACATGTTAATATTGTAAAAATTGCCCAAATGATAATGAAACGCCACCAATGGTTACGAAGGCTAACTAAGACAGGAATGATCCACATACCCAACAGAGACACCCTCTACGATAAAAAAAAGAATGTAAGATAACATTATAATTTTTTGTTCAAAATCTCATACTCGAGAAAGATTTTAACCAAACATCAGATGGTATAACCACAGCTTCATTTCACACTCACCATAAAGTTATCTCACAGTTTAAACACATGTAATGATATAGGTATATATTATATATATATAATAAGATATACTTTTAACATTTCAAATACACAAGTACAGTAAATTAGTTTCTAAGATTTAAGTGCACAATTCAGATGTTAAGATTTTAGCACAAAAGAGAATTATGGTTTTTATTTTGGGAAATACTTACTGTAGGAAAAAAACAAACTTAATAAACAAAAATGAAATATTAAAGGCAAATTTTAAATTATACAGTGAAAGCATTCCGCCTAGTTACATGTGGGAGGCAGGCTCATTTACAATTAGCTTCATAAACATGCTGTCTTTTTCAATTGGACTTGTAATGTTTGTTTCGGTCTTACCTAATAGGACATGTAATGCCTATTTTGGTCTTACCTAATAGGACATGTAATGCCTATTTTGGTCTTATCTAAAAGGACTTATAATGTTTGTTTCAGTCTTACATAATAGAACCTGTAATGCCTTTTTTTGGTCTTATTTAACAGGATCTGTAAAGCCTGTTTTAGTCTTAGCCAATAGGACCTGTAATGCCTATTTCAGTCTTACCTGATAGGACCTGTAATGCCTATTTCAGTCTTACCTGACAGGACCTGTAATGCCTATTTCAGTCTTACCTGATAGGACCTGTAATGCCTATTTCAGTTTTACCTGATAGGACCTGTAATGCCTTTTTTTCCACTCAACAAGAATCAACTGAGCAACCACTACAGCTGTGATAAGAATAAGAACCATCCATGCATGCATAGTCTCATGTCCACGGTGTCTGGCATGGAGTCTTTGATGTTCAATCCTAAAGTATCAACATTCTTAATAAGATACAAATATATCTAGTTATAATTTAAGAAAAAACAAAATCCTAAATCTACACATTGTTCAATTAAAATTGAATTCAATTACTACTAAGATTTTAATAGCTTCTTCAGTCATTTCTGGCATGATCTTGAACTCTTATTTTGAAGTTTACTTACATTCTTCAAGTCATCTTTAAAAACAGAAAAGAAAAAAAGAAACATGTCTAAAATTTCATGTGCTGTACACAATTATTTTAATTCATTTTGATTCTAACTTAAAAATTCATTATCTTAGTTTATAAGACAAAACACTTAAATGCTCACATTAAAAAAAATAAAACATGGATGGTGGAATTTTGAAATAAGCAAGCAACAACATTCACATAAACTTACAGAAGTCCTAATCTTTGATCAAAAGTAAGCTAATTACTTAGATTATATAAATCAGAACTATAAATCTTCTTATAAACTAATGAAGCCAATCCTTTATAACAAAACTATAAATTGCCAAACTAAAACATATTGTGTTACGCTATTTCTAATATTTTAATTTAGACATTTTGTACTGTTTGCTAAAGAAAGTTTTGTAATGATAGTGATGACATGTGATGTTTACAAGTTTCCTAACTGTGTAGATTTTGTGAAACCTCGATTTTGGAGAGGTTTGGAGAAAAACAAATATTGTAATACCAGCATATAGACCATGAAAAATGATAAGGCAAGTACAACCACTCCTACCCCACCCCATAGTATACCCTAACCTCACATTTCATAGCTAACAGAAATGAATAAATTTTGCAAAATTAAGCTTGACCAACAGAGGCATAAAAGTAAAGTTGAGGCAGTCAAACATCGGTATATTCCTTTGTAAGGAATGAAATCAATTTGTGGCATATTCATAGAATAATTATTGATAAAAATCAGTCAGATTAACAACTTCTACCATATAGAAAAGCCAGTGCGTTTTGGTAATACTAGGTTCCAACA